AGTATCCGAAATATTCATAAATCGGGATGACACGTTCTAGAAATACTCAAATACAAATTCTACATCAAATTCGTTATCATCATTATTTCTCACAATTTTATTTTGTTTCGTAACACTTCTAGAAAAAGAAATATGATTTGGAAAAGAATAATACAGTCGTTTAGGTAGTATCCGAAATATTCATAAATCCGGGGTGGTACGATTTAGAAATATTCAAATACAAATTCTACATCAAATTCGTTATCATTATTATGTCGGAATGATTGTCTGAATGTGCATTTTATCTGAGTAGAGAAAATTCGATTTTAAGCATCTCAATATTTTCGCATTTCAAAATCTGTTCCTTTCAATTATTGTTATCAGAAATTTGTAAATCAGAAATGTGAGTAAAGAAATTAAGAAAAATGAACAAACTAAGAATTGAATTAAACAATCTATAAAATTTTGCTGAGAATGGTATCATTTCTTATAACAAGCCAAATTATAAATATAACATCAAAGTTATTTCAGTTTTTCCAGACGAGAACTTGTTCAAATGAAATCATATGTGAAATTGGCGAAGTTAAGAAGCTATCAATTTACGAAAAGTCATGGCACTAGAAAAAAAAAAATTACAGTGGAACTACAGTAAGAAAACAGAAATATTCTAAGTGGATTACAATAATTGTTCTGGTTTGCTTGTAGAAATGATTTCATTGGATATTAAACATCAGCTTATTAAAGCAAACTAGTATAAGATTTCCTTAGTCCAAGTATTTGTTAACATAGCTTGCAGGCAATGGCCAGTTTGCAGTCAATGTTTTATAATGTTAACACAATTTGCACTGTTTCTAATTACAATGCACTATTTTCTAACTGTTATAAGTGTAATGTTGTTATCACTGATGAAGTTTTCCAGCCCCAAAATGAAATCAAAAATAACTGTTTCAATAGCATACAACTAATGATTTGCATATTGCATTATTTGAATGCTGTGATTTTGTTTTGCTCGATCAACTTGTTTCTATGAAAAAATGCCAAAATAAATTGATATTTGTCAAAATGAATCGATTTATTAAAATAAATGGATATTCCTTGATCACAATTCAATTTAATAGTAGACAAATATAATTGCAAATATCGAGCGCGATTTCAAAAAACGGAAAAACTGATAGAACGGACGATGAAACGGATATATATCAAATAAAACGGAAGAATTGTCTCATCAAGTGTTTTTCATCATAATTAGTTCGACTGTTACATTAAATCATTTCACTTCTATCTACCATAAATCGTAATTAAAATGGTTTTTCGGGCAATTATCACCTATTATTTTCCTTAAAAAAACATCAGTGCTAATTTTTTTATTTATTATCACCTGAACAATCTTTTATGAATATTTCCGATTTCACTCATCCCAAAAACACATTTCATATGGCCTTTGGATATGTTAAGGTTATAGTTTCTATTATCAATTGGGACCTATTTCGAGACATGATTATCAATTAGCATTTATTTCATGATATGATTAAATCGAATTTCGAAGTACTGATGAAGGTTGGTAAGAATTTAAAAATACTTTATTCGTACTTTTTTGCTTTTAATAAAATTCAGACATAGCATTTCTGAAGAATGTGCCAAAGACGAGATGTAATTCATAGTCGCAACGAAATTACGCAAAATGATACGACGAAATAATCCTGAAACGATGAAAATTATGTCACCATTTGAATCAACTATCGAATCCGGTTTTTCATCCGAACCAACCAGGTACCGAATCTTGCTTTAATATTTATTTAACTTGAAGCAAGCAATATGCCTTAAATAATATTAAGCACTTTTATAACAATTCCTGTTAAGTAAGTAATAAATTTATCTTTAAATCATAGAAGAAAAAAAAAATAAACGTAAGGTTTTCCAATACTGACCAATTCGACTATTTTATATACAAATTTTATATACAAATCCAAAGTTCACCCTCGTCAGTGTTCATCCATTATATTTAACACCAAATAAAGTGTCGTAATTTTACTCAGTCATTACCTTCCGGTCGATAGAATAGATTTGACTATAGTCTATTTCCTATAGCCAAACAGTTTTAGTAATAAAAAGGAAAAACTAATGAAACAGAAATAGTAAG